GTCACCCAAGGACTGATCACAATACTTGAAAATTGGACCATTAATTTAAAAGTCTGAGTGCAAATTGTTGAACGCCATCCTTAAGCTTCTATTTTATAAAGCATCTGTTGGATCTCACAACTGACCTCAGTGTTGTGCTCTAATAGACCACATAAACTTAGTGTGGATAAATATGTAAAACAATCTAAAATCATCATCCTCAAGTTTATTAAATTCCTGCCAATCCCAGGGTGGGGTCTTTGTTCATGCTGGAAAGCTGCAACAATATGGGTACAACTGATGTTATTTTAGCTTGGATCTATCTTGAGCTAAGGCTAAGCCTAAGGTAGACACACTCAAATCGATTGTAATGTTGCCTGTGTCAGTTTAGCTAATTTAAATGTACATGCATTAGCAGATTGCATTGGTTCAACCAGATTGATCTTTAAATTGCTTTGTCTAAAGTTGTGCCTTCTCTAGGGGAGACAAGGAGTGTGTTCGGAGCAGTGGGCTGCCACAACTGTTTACGTTTCTCTGCCTGTCAGTTCTTCAGAGCGCTGCTCCAATCACTCAGTGTCTATGTAGCTATCAGTATAGCTGCTTATCAACTGATTCTCATAAAGCTGTGCTAGAATTCCCTGAACTTCCCCAGAAGGAAAGCCATTGAGTTACACACATTATTGTTTCAATTCTACTGAGATCAGTTAAATTTTACTAGGCATAAATGTGGACCACATCCGATATAAATCATTGTCAACATATGATTTTACAGTCAGAACTTAGGCAAATAAATCAATGATGACTTTTGAGTGTTTGAAATTCTTTCTGCTCCTGTACAGCTGCCCCTATAAGCTCCAAGGAAGAGTGACAAGCAAACACAAATCCATTTTAAATTGCATGTCTTCTCCCTACCAGCTTTCAGAGCATTGTAATCTCACCTTCATTCCAGTGGGGTAAAAAAACAGGTACAGAAAATAAGCATGAGATAATGAACTTCTCTTACTTTGCCTGATTGTAATAAATGAGGTTATTTTCCCCCCTGACTCTTGGAATTAGATGTGACACAACACCTTAACACAATCAGCTTGTTCTGAAACCCTGATAATGGGAACCCATCTGCTTAGAGACATAAAGGAGAATTCATTATATGCCCCGTAATTACTTTCAACGCAACATAAAGAGATTGCGCGCACTGCTTCTTAGAGTTAAATATGCTGTCAGAAAGAATACCTTTCTGTGTAGGAATAAGAGGGATTCAAAAAGGTTATGGCTAATAATGACATTTAAAGTTTTTCACAGAAAAAAAAATAAGAAAAGAAGTATATTGTGCCTTATCTTCCTCAGTACTAACTTCAGAGAAAACCAAAATCTCTGCACAGCATTTCCAAAAAGCTGCTCCTGAATACATCAGCTGTGGGCAATTCTTTTCTGTATCTGGCTGTATTATGATGGACAATAACTTGTATAAAGTGCACATTTTCCTGCAAAAGAAGGAAGGATAAAATGACAGATTTTGAGATCCATGTTTGATGCCTAATCCTTGCGGCTTCCTCCCAAAGCTGGCAAAGCCTCAAAGTCCCATGTCAGGAAGGAGATTTTGTACATGATTGAACACCAAGTGTTAAGGCCACATAAAGAATGGTACTGTCAGGCTCTGGAGTAAAATTTCTTTTTTTCTTAATAGAACAGGACCTTGAGGGATAAAGTGAAATGAGCTGGATCTACTGGTCTGAAACAGGTGACTGGAATTTAATCTGGGAGGGGCAGGAAAGAGCAAAAATAACAATTCTTTGGTCTTTCTGACATACCATCCACATATCTTCACTAATTGCATTTCTTCTTGTGGTTTTAGTAATAAAATTTATACAAATATTTACAGTGGATGAAAGTACCTTTGTCTAAATGTCACTTATTAATTGTGTTTTATCCTTTGAATAGTACCGTTCAAATACCTTTTTGATTGTATTTTCACTTTATGAGCTGAAGTTCTCCAATATTTTTTCCCACTTCCATTTATTTTATTTATATATTTCAACCTAATGAAACATGGCATGCTAAGAGGCTATTATTTTTGCAAATCAGTCTGTATCTTAAACTGCCTAACTCTTCCTTTCAGCCAGACATGAGGTTGCTAAGACAATTAACATGCCTGAGGTTGATAATATGCATAAGCAATTTGCCAGATCAGACCTTACATATGAGATCATGCCAATAAATTTGAGATACTCATCTTTGTCTTGGCTCTTTACATCTAAGGCTTTCAAGCTGAGTGAAAGTAAGAATATTCTGGATACAATGCTGAAATGATTTGCTGAAGGATCCTGTATCAGATAGATTTTCCAAAAAATAATTTCTTCTAACCATTATTAAATATCACCCTCTTGAAGGATTTACCTCTAGGCCATATGTGAAATATGACTATTTGGCCTTAATGGACATTTTTCTCTATTTTTCAATTGTACAGTGAAAGCTTTCACATTTAATGTAGTTAAATAAATGACATTTTAAAAACAATGACATTAATGATAGATTCTTGACAAAACTACAAGTATAGTTCTGTCTTCTGAGTTTGATGGTAAAGCTGCCACTGTCTTCCATGTGGCCAAGATTTTGCACTCAGAGTCGTTAAATTCTGCACTTAAAGATTCCTCTTACATTTAGATTTTTTATTGTCTAGACGATGATAGAATTTTCACAGGAGTTGGTAGAAAGCTGATTTGTGCTTAAATGTGTCATGAGCAAAACTTGGACAATTACTTTGTCCAAGTAATCTAGGACTTCCCACTGGCAATACAGCTGTCTCCTAAACTTTGGCCAAGAATGGTGACCACTCCGATAGAAAAGTGCCCAGGGATTTGCTGGAAGGCTCCCAGAATTCAACAGATTCCTTCTGTGGCTCTTCTGTGCACTTCCCCATCCCCAGCCCTGGCCCTGTCCAACCACTTCCCCCTTGCTGCCTTTGCACATGCCTCTGCCCACTCCATGTGCCTTCCCCAGATTCCTTCACATTTGAAAGACAAGTGCACAGTGAAGGGGTGCAGATTTCCACACATTTTGGGAGAGGAAGCATGTCACTGATAGCTTGAAAAGTTCAGACCTATCCAGGCCAGAGTTCTGACTTTATAGTGTACTTTACAGGATTCCTGGAGGCAATTATGAGTTTAGCTGAAATATTTGCTTAGCCTTAAATGCTGCATGCATAAACTATTTATAAGTAGTAACACTGAACTCAGTATTTTTTTCAAATTCTTTCAAGAAATTCAGTCAGGCATATGCTTGAAGGCAACTTCCTACATTAATTGCTGCTTTTTAATGCTGTTTCTTTTAAGATAAGCCCTGTGAGTTTGTACACTGTCAGCCTGTGTTGTCTGTTCTGCTGCTAAACACAATTGAAGAAAACTTATTACCAGACAAATATGTTTCTAATATTAGCTGATATCAGCTGTCTAGTTTGTCAGTCAGAAAGAATGATGGATGGCCACGGGGGGCTATCAGAGATAATGGGTATGCAAACCATACTGCCATCTAATACTATTGAGTTTTATCACACAGATTTCAGCATAAAAACTTACCATTATAGTTTCTATATGTCAAATAAAAAATCTTGAAATATTACCTCTCTCACTAAGTATTTTTGCCTCTCTACCAGAGGCAGTATATAAGGTCCAAAAAACACTGTGTTTTAAAATATTGCTGTCCAAAGCACAAAAGTTGTCTAAAGGTAATAGATTGGCGACAGTTCTCTTTTTAGAATGGACTGCTAAAACATAACAGAAAAACAAGACAGTAACTCATTTTGGCTGTGTATATGGATTCTTTAAATGACGTCACTGGTATTACGTGTTTCAGTTAAATCTCTAATGCAGTTTTCTTCCTTCTTCTGTGGCCTATATCAGTATGAGTGAAAGAAAGGAAAGAAGGGACCAAAGCAAGAAATCATTCAATATATTTGTTACTTGTATGATATCTCCATCTCAAAGAAAAGTTCCAATTAAAAAAAAATCCTCATGTTATTTTATTGAGAGCTTATACATCCATGACAGATAATTGCTGGCTCAGCTGCCCAGAGAAGCTGTGGTGCCCCATCCCAGGAGGCGCTCAAGGCCAGCTTGGATGGTGCCCTGGGCAGCTGAGCTGGTGGGGGCAGCCCTGCCCATGGCAGGGTATGGGAACTAGATAATCTTTAAGGTCCCTTCCAACCCAAGCCATTCTATTTTTTTATGATTTCTATGAGTCATGAAAATGTAGCATTTCAAAATCGAAGTGTCTGCTGATGCAGAGTCTGCCTTACAAAGATTTCTTCAAATTTTAGAGAACAAATTCAGATTGCAAACTCCAGTGAGGTCCCATTCCACAGTTCTGCCAGTTCTTTTTGTGCTCAATTTGAATGTCTCAAGAAATTCTTTCCATTCAAGCACAGACCTGTCAGAGACTTTTAGATTATCATTATCTTCAGCTCTGACAGCAGGCCACAAAGCACATAACAGAATTAGATTTTGTTTTGTCTCATGTTGTCACATAACCTGACACATCAACATGAGTACATCTCACTTAATTTACCCTTCACTGTTTTTTAGAATGGCTATTAGCAGGAAGTTAATATCTATATCCCTATTTTGTTCTTGAAACACTTCCATTCTGTCCTTGTAGTTCTGCCAGTCTGGCAATATACAACCCCTCAGTATTTACCTTTTCAGTTTTCAATCAGTTTCTGATACATTGGTCCTTGATAAAGAAGTCTGGAATTTGGTTTCTTCAGTCCTTAAAATTTCATCAGATAGTAGTTTTGAATTCTACAAGTTTTTTGGCCTATGGAAAATGTGTAGCTGTAATGCTGTTATCACCATCGATCATCAGGAATAATCTGAGAAAATCAATCTCTTTTTTACTATTTTAGAAATGCTGTAATCAAAGTGGATAATATTACAAAATTCTTTAAAATCCCATGCAATCTTTTCAAAAAATACATCCAAAGATGCCCATTAGGTGAATTATGAACTCAAACTCTTTGACTACCCTACCTGTAGACCAGCGCTCTCCTTGAACTCAGTAGTTTTGTCCATTTGTGCTGGATGTGCCTCTGATGTGTTTACCTACAAATACAATAATGTTGACAGAAGTTGCAGCATTAATGCATGATCTTCATTTTTCAGAAGAACCAGTATCTTTTCCCCCTCTGTGCAAGTATATGCAGAGATTTTTGAACAGAGGGTACATGTTCTGTTTTCAATAATACTTTAAGATTCATTTCAGTATTATCCAATTCATAAGTCTAACTACTGATTTCATAAATATAAAGAGGGGATAGGTAATAATACCTAGTAATTACGAGTTAACCCTGTTGAGAAATACAACACAAAGAGAGCTATATCATACACTGCCAGCAGTATCAGTGATAGTTTTGCTTTCTGGGAGGAGGGACAGAAATGCAAAAAGGTCAAAGACTAAATCACGGGGTTGCAGAGGGAGGTCACATGGGTTGCAAGGATTTGCTGCTTTCACAAAGGACACCGCAGTCAGTAATCTGCTGTCATGCAGCATGTACTGCTCTTTAAGCAAGTCTGACACTGATGTATGAAAGGCACTCTGAGCAGGGAGATAAAAAGACAGTAACTACAAACATGAAAAGTACACAAGCTGTGACGTGATTAAAATAGCATTAACACCCAGACCTTACCCAAAACATAGAAAAAATATGGAAAAAAAAACAAAAACAAAAACATTGTATCACTCTGTGGATGGCATGCCATAGATAGAGACGTATGGAAGATGCAAGAGACAATGGGCTTAAATTATTAAATTACTACAATACAATTTGAATGAAATATCACTGAAAACAAGGAGCAGCAGAGAACATCACCAGGTGATGTAGACCTGCATGGGCATCCACACCCATGCATTTAATTTGTCCATGAATTTAAATAGTTTGTCTCCTGCTAGTCATGCCCTGCAAGCAAAGTTAGATCTATTGTTAGTAATGATATCTGAATAAGTAAACCTAAATCAGTGTGAAACCTCAGATTTGCAACTCCTCTGCTGAAGTAGGAATGATGTGGGTTCACATGTTTGAATCTCATATGGGCAGAGTTAGATCAGCCATAAGATCTCATGCTGCTCCATTCCTCCCCAGTACTAATTGCATTTTCTAATTAAATATCAGTGATGGGGTAGGGGGACTCTGCGTACTACCTCCCCAGATTCATTCTTTGAGTCTTAATCCAAACAGGTTTTTATTCTATTTGAGTAGCTCTCTTTTTATTTCAAAGGCATAAGTACTTATCTAAAACGGATTCATCTGCCTGGCTGAAGCCCTTCATTTAAACACTGAGCTATCTGGACATAAATATGTTAAATAAAAATATAAATAAGTTACCTCCTTTTTCTTTTAGCTCCTTGAACTACGAAATATTCCTACAGACATTTGCTCAGACTCAGACTGTTGACACATCACTCTACCATGTGTCACACCAATGTCTCGCAATGTTGCTATGACTCTTGTCAGAAGTATGACATGGCACATGCAGCTGAGTGGCAATGGTTGATTTCAAGAGCTGTAGATTTGCAGCCTTTGAGAGGGGAATCTGAAGGCAATTTCTCTTCATTTGTGTAAATGTAAAGAAAAAAAAGAATTTCAGAAAATGTGCACAGCATACTGAGTTTATGTGTAAAAATATTAAGTAGCACACTGAGCAGCGAGCCTGACGCTATACAAGTCAGGGTAGGACTCCCACTGGCAGGATGAGGGTAATATTTCCCCCAAAATCTCTGCGACCAAAGCTAGCTTGGTTCCCATCCCTTTTCTCTTTCTTTGTGGTGGTAAATTTCCAAACTTCACAAGTCCCTACAGGTATTTTAATCTGGGTTGCAAACTTGGAAATCAGAGTAACTAGCTCCCTATTCTTAGACTTCAGAAGCATGGCTGCCTCTATTCTCAAGTCAGACACGTTCATGGCTTAATGCTCCCGGTCAAGGAGTGACATGTCTCATTCTTACAGCTGCATAGCCAGACAAAATGAAAGAGTCTAAATTGCAACAAAGATTTTGGTGGGAAGGGGGTCTCTTTCTCTCTCTCATTGCCTCAATAAAAAGGATGCCTGCACCTATTCTGCCCTTAAGAGTAATTGAGTTAAAACAATCTCACTCACTTCTATTCCCTCTTTTGTGAGCCATATCAGATGCTCTCAGGCATTTGATGCTGAGAAATGCACTTTGCACGGTTACTCAGCAGCACTCCAAATCTGTAACAATGCCAGGCTGTAGCTGGGTGAAATCTGAAGCTGAATGTTTCAAGGGACCATTATTACTAATGGGCTCTTTTATTAGAAACTTTGAAATCAAATAAAATTGGTTGGAATTTAAAGTGCAAGGAAGAGAGGCATTGAAGTTTGTGAGCATCATTAAAGAATAATATTACACTTTTATGAGACACTTTGGTCAGGTTACAGCTCATCACAGAGCAGGCAATGAGGATTTTCAAAATCAGACAAGTATCTTAGAAACACAACGTAGGCTTCCAAGCTGAAATACCACTTCAGCAGTCTGATGTAAAGTATCTGGTGAAAAAATGCTCTCCTATGTGTTTGTCTTGCTGCTAAGTGACAGAAGAAGACATAAAAGTCTTGGAACAGAATCCAGTTATCCTGCATTATATCTTGCAATGTTCATATGCCAGTATCTACATTATCCCCATGCTGAGAAACTCCATCTAAGAATATGGCCTCCAACACTACACAAGCATCAACGAAGAAATATTTCTCCAGAAAAACAATAAAGAACCAAAACTATAATAAATGATAAAAATGATAAATGCCAGTGCATTTACTTTCACAAGGTGCCAGTTCCAAAAATCTGATGAAGTTCAGGACTTAGAACTTCTAACCTGCATAAAAATTTTTTTTTATTAAAAAATAGTGTATCCAGGTGACATAGCTCATACTTTCATGGAAGCAAAAAGTAGCAGAAAGATTTATACTTAATGTAAAAGGGCATAATGGGTAGAAAGGCAGTGGTAAAGCAGGTCCATACTAGAATAAGAAGCAGAACTCAATTTTCTGGCTCGTCCTCAGCTATCTGTCCAATGCTGCCATGTGAGAAAGATAGGTTGGCATCAGAATCACAGAATCACAGAATGGCCCGGGTTGGAAGGGACCTCAAGGATCATGAATCTCCAACCCCCCTGCCACATGCAGGGCCACCAACCTCCCCGTTTAATACTAGACCAGGCTGCCCAGGGCCCCACTCAACCTGGCCTTGAACACCTCCAGGAATGGGGCATCCACAACCTCTCTGGGCAGCCTGTTTCAGTACCTCACCACTCTCATAGTAACGAATTTCCTCCTGACATCCAACCTAAATCTTCCCTCCCTCAACATAAAACCATTTCCCTTTGTCCTGCAAAGTGCAGAGTTCACTTCAGAGAGCTTAAAGAGTTTGGGATATATTAACACTTAAAGTTACATTACTCCGCATATTTTTAAATTTCACAACAAAAGGCAGAGATGCTTCACTATTGAATTTTGACCATGTTGATAAGGAAAATATACATCAGTGCAAAGAACAGAACTGAAAGACAGCAATGTTTTCTCATAGCTGCTGCTGTAGGAGCTGTTAAGAATTTAACAATACAGACACTATTTTAAACTTCACAAGCAGAAATGAGTCAAGTAATGCTCCCCTCAGTAAAGCAACTTGCATATTTCAAGAATACCAAGCAAAACAAGTTATTATCTGTAATTTGTGGAAATATATAAGGGATCTCAGGCAGAAATTCACAATAAACAGCAGGAGTATGGTTCCTGCTGCACTGTCACTTTTGCTAGGACAACCTATTTAAAAAATATTTCCCAAAACATTACAAGCTGCATGTCATCCAGTTCTCTATTTTTCTTCAAAAACAGGATGGAAAACTCTAACCTATCATTAGAACTCCTCCATAGGCACAGGTGTAATTATCAGAACCAAACTTGCGTTTTCACAGCCACTCTGTAAATGCACATTGTCTTATCACTGCGAATGCATACGAAATGTATCAAGTCATATTTGTATCTTCCTCCTCACAATTTAATATATCTACAGAAACACCCCATTGCGAGGATGTAGAGAACATGTGAAGGTAAGTAAGTGGTTTGGATTGGTCCCAGCTGTTTGGAGCCTCATTGGATATGCTGCACATGGACAGATAGACAACATTAGGTAAGAAAAGAAATGATGTGACTTTGTGCGAGGTATTCTTCACTTGAAAGAAAAAAAAGAAAAAAAAAAAAAAAGAAAGAAAGAAAGAAAAAAAGGAACATTCAGTCCCTATTTCTTAACTGAGAATCTCCAGAATGTAGGTAACCTATGATTGCCTCAGTACCTTGTCTACTCCAGGGTTATTTAAAAAAGTATGTATGCCAATTTGGGGGTAGGAGGTGAAAGAGTGCATAGAACACTGCTGATTACATTTATGTGCCAGATCAATCCTTTCACCCTTTTTGTATTATTTCATTCTGTCTGCAATACATAAAACAGAAAGAAATTCAAACTTGTACCATGCTTAGAAGCCTCAAGATGCAGCTATAGCAGTGTAGTGTCTAATAGCAGTGCATGATGTGATCACCAGGTGTAACAAAGCAATCTCACAATTTAGACAGTATGGTATTGATCATAAGGCTTTCTATTATAATTCTGTACTGCAAAGTGTATCTAGTAATTCAGTGCCAAAGACTAAAAGAGGAAAATAGCTATTGATTAAATAGCTGAAAATTTAAAAGGCAGAATAGATTTTTACATTTGTCATTTCTTATATTTGTAAGGATATGTCCCCATTCATGCAGGTTCCTGGGGTTTATATAAACGCCCACTCTGCTACTAAGTTTATAAACCATAAAAATTGGTTTCTTAGTTTGCAGAGGTGAAAGTTAAAGCATTCCTGAATCTCTTTATCCTGCAGATTTTCAGATGTTCAGGTTAGTTTGTTTGCTCTCCCAGGTAGTACTGACTTCACTTTCAGTAACATGGATACTCAGCAGTAGGAAATCTGACATAGGTCATAATAATAAATGTTGGAAAGTGATGACATGCTTTTGGTGAGCTGCAGTATTGTTGTGAATGAGTCTGGGTAGCTGATGTCTTTTACTGTATGATAATAGAATTCAATTACATTAACATAAAGAGCATAAGGATAGCTGAGTGGATGAGACCAAAGTTCTGTCTAATTTGGAGGCTTGCCTTGGATGGCAAAAAGCAGTGTGTAAGTAGGAAAAGTTTGCATGAAACAAGAAGGCCAAAAAGATCAAGGTGTGGCCCCTCAGCTTCCAGAAATCAATCTCTGAGTGACTTTAGGTGCTAAGCATGTGCTGGGCATGTAATATTTAATAACCACTATAACCAATTTGTACTTATGGCCTCCACAGATTCTATG